TTGCCTTCTTGCTCGCTTGTCTATCTGGCCACATGTGATACGGTATGCATAGTGTAATCGTGCCATTGCGAGCAATCTGGAGAATCGATGCATGTGCAATCTCGTTTAGGAAATGCATGCGACTGTTAAGTCAGTGTGAGGTAATCAGAAACAATACAATACTTCGTATGAAGGAGGTAAAGCTGGCACTTGTTCTCAAATAGAACTTTTAAGGCCTTTATAGCTACAAAGTTCCCGTGCTGTGTCGTTTCAGTTGTGAATAGTGTAGCTACGTACCGCTAATGTAGCCGGCACATTGTATACTAAGGTCAAGTTCGCTGGGTAGGTAAAAGCAGTATTAGATCTGTAGCCATTGTTCCAACTAGGAGGGTTCCTAGTGTGGCGGTGACACAACCTCAGTGAGTGTTCGTTCGTCTCCACACCTGTGGGCCACTTCGGTAATCATTTACCACTTCAGTACCCATGGACCTGCCGTTATTTAAAGGTCGTAAGATGCATGTCAATCCTGTGTTTCAACATGATATTTACGCTTCACTTCCATGTGATTGATAAGCTTGAAATATCAGGTGACCCTACAGCCCTTACGTGACCCGCCAACAAGCACTGCATACGCATTGTAAGCATAAATTTTGGAGCAATTTTCCTCCTTCAACAATGCCTTCGGAACTACCTACTTTCCAATAACAAAATGTTTCCGAGTAGTTGCCGAGCTGATAACAACGTGTGTCACGACGTGCACACATGACGGCTTCTAAGACTGGCTGAAACAGTGGTCCATAGCAGGGTTAGTGGGCACGGTTGCCTTTGTAGATGATTGAAAACATGCTGTTGGAACGCCGGTGAATGAGACAACAGTGTTTTTCTGTTCCAAGTAGTCACCTGAATTACCCGAGTAGAATGCATGCGCCGCCACTAATTATCGGCCTTTGCATTTTTCCTTGCAGGACGGTAGTCTACCTACGGTGGTCTACCTACTTCAATGGGAATAATGTCCTCCATGGTCTTCGCAAGTAACAATCGCCTAGTAGCCATTGCTGATTCAGCTTAGGGTGTGCAGTGTCCTAGCCATGGTGCATGCTTGACCCACCGCAAATGCAGGCGTGGCTGAGTCCCTCAGACTTCAGGAACTGCGGAATAACAGTTAGAAGAATGTCTGTCTACGCCACCATCGTACCCATGCTTAGGGCGCTGAAACAAGCCACCAGCAGGTAGTGGCTAGACCTCAGTAAGTATATACCTATTCATGTGGTGGTTTTCCTGTCTGTCCGCACTGGTTACGGCGTACGCTTCGGATCATGTGGTAGCTAGGATCTCCTCTTTAGACAGGCATCACAAGTTGTCCCTTGAACGGTTTCAGTTTGGAGAGAAATCATCGGGGTTTCCTTCAGACGCCCTTCAGGGCAGCACAGATGGTGGTGCTCGACCATTATCATTGCACTATCTGTCGCTTATGCTCGGGGCCTTTACCCGGTGTCCCATAGACTAACGTCCCATGACCAATGACAGTGTCACCGATGTCAAAACAGCGTTATTTGGCTAGCGAACTTAAATGCACAGCCCGCGATTTCGAAAATGTGCCACGCTAAAAGTTCGGTTCAATGAGTCGACAGGCTTGTAAAATGGCATAGTGCCTTGGTCGTGTGCGTATCGATGTCTGTTTTCGAGGTCTCAGCGTGTCACCCGAATACGTGCGTGCATGGGGACCGTGTTCAGGTTACACGTACCTTTCGTCTAAGCTAACGTGAGCAGGTCTGCACAAATCCACTACAGTTGCCAATCCAATGGAAACTTGCGCTAATGAGCTCTAGGCACAAAAAAAGCAGACAGCAGTAACTACGGCCTATTGTTTCCAGAGCGATGGAGCTAATGGTCAAAGAGCAAAAATACACCACTTACCCTGACAAAACCTGCTTAACCAGATGCAGCATGATATTCGACAAAAAAGATCATGTCAGTTATGTCAGCTGGAATTCCCGAATTGTTTAACGAGCTCTGTGGATAATGGCCATGTAGCTATCATCACTTTCACCTACATGCAAAATCGTTCGATAGAGTGCCGCATGGTCACCTAAATAGGAAAATGTCCCAAGTTTGCATCATAGATCCCTTGTGTGCCTGGTACAGAACATACCTTACTGACCGAAATCAACAAGTTCACATAGGTATCTGCAGGTCATCATCGTTTCCCGTTACTAGCGGTGTAGTCCACTGCTCTTCTTGTTGTACATCAATGACATAATAGCCACTAGTAAAAATCGAAAACTCTACATTTTCTTTGATGGTATTAAGGTACTGCTCACTTGAGCTTAGAAACATGGAAGTGGTTTTGGATAAGATACAGCGAAACTTATCCTTTCTCGAAACGTGGTGTGACAACTGGGAAATGTTATTCGCTACGGATTAGTGTAGGATGGTAGCTTCTCAATACAAACTTCTATCTCAACTTCTATCTCTGAGGAAAGCCAATTTCATTCCGAGACACAAAAGGAGCCTTAGGTATTCATTATTCAAGCACCCACAATTTCGGTGAGCAGATCGAATTCATAGCAGCCGAAGCTCGCCAAACAGCTAGGCTAATCTGCAAATCAGTGGTATTACTTGATACTAGACTGCATATGTTCAAGGTCTGCATGCACCTTGTGTTGGAATATTGTTTCATGATATTTACCAGTTGTAGGAAACGCGATGGTCTATGCTTGGAGAATAAGCAGCATCGATACACCAAAGCCCTATTTACTGAAATTCCAACGCCGAGCCATTCAGAGCGTTGTATACTGCTTAAATTACAGCTTTTGTGGCTACGGCGATTGAAACTAGGTCTGAAGTTTCTGTTCGACTTAGTGCACTAACGTGTAGTTGCCCCGTACCGTGGTATGTGTATCATTCAGAATTAAAGGGATGACAGCAGGAACAAGAGGGATTTTGTTCTACAATAGATCTAAAACAAACCTACGCAGTAAATTCTGCCTGACAAGCTACTGAGAAATCTGGGACGGGTTAACTGTTGAATTGCCACTACGTGAGTCTAGGCAGTTGTTCTGAATAGGGCTGGATATATGCCTCACTGTGACGCAAGTCAAAGCTTTGATGAAACTGGACTGCATAGTGGAAACAATGAAAAACGTGCTGAGGTGTTGGTACGCAGGGACAAGTTCACCTGATAATTTATGCAGACTTTGAATAATATCCTCTGGATTTCGCTAAACTATTAAGCTTTTACCCATTTTAACAGCACGTTGTCACTCGTTCCGCCATGCAAACCCGACAGTTTCTTTCTCTCTTCACGTTCATAACAAACTACCGCTTCTTTCCCGGAGTAGGAAACTCTACGACATGTGGCAGTTGCTGGACCGCTGGAAAGTCCATTTTTCCATATTAATTACTGTACAACACGATTGCCTGAATTCGTTGCATCTATCTCAAACCGTTTAGAGAACAGTTTTTATTTTTGGATGTAAGCCGACTTTACAATCTGAGATGAAATCCGCTTGCTACATACTACTCATGTGTTAGTATTTTGTAGTTCACCACATGCTATTGATCCATTTTCCAATATTGGCTACAACTGAGCGGATCTTCTGAGGTGACTGAATGAAGGTTTTGAATTTATCAATACACCCACACGTGACGTACAGTCACAGACCTACTGACGAGAAAAGTTATCCCCACTCAATGTAAATTGTTACAGACCCGGCGAGTTAACGAAAGTGCCAGACTCGAATGAGTCTGGGATTGGAATGTGTTGAATAGTTCAAAAAGTATACAAAAGCAAAGCCGGAAGCTTATTTATCTCTGTGAGCTTATTACTTACAATACATGACAACGACGCTGAAGATGAGCTAATATGGTGATGGCTGATTTGATATTATGCCACACATGCACAATGCCCATTGGGGGGTGTAAATGCTGCTAAAGCATTTGGAGAGAATAACATGCATGGAAGCAGATCCACAAGAGACGGTTCCACGAACAAGCGGATTACTTCAATCGACACATTTCAATAACTAATTCATTCTAATTTAAACCTCACCTAACTTCAAACAATTTTACTAATCAAACTTCTCGAAAAACTACTCTGGATGACCTAAAAACACCGACTCTTTGAGAGCCTGTTGTAGCAAATGATCAGGCCAAATCGCTTGACTGTCTCTACCATAGTCGAGAAATGATTATATATATATATATATATATATATATATATATGTTACGCTAATAATATTGATAACTAACGGTAATACCACACATTATGCTACTCATTTTAACAAGAAAAGCGATAGGCGTACCTTATAAGATGACTCAACTTTTAAAACATAGAAAAGTAAAGATGATGGATGTACCAAGACATAGTTACAGAAAATTGGTAGATGGTCAAATGTTTTGCCCTACCATGGTTGGTTACGAGGCTCACTGTTATTTTTGAACAGATTGGCCATTGGATCAATCCTGATGGGTAGTTCATTGTTCTAATACACGGTCAGCAGCTCTAATCGCTCAGGCTACAGGGAGCCACCGTTAGTGACAGAACCCACCGCTATGCTTTCAAATGCAGCTGACCATGCCTCCTAACCTACTTTAGTGAAGCAAGGCGTTTGGTTATCTACCGATCTTACATAACCCGGCATATATATATATATATATATATATATATATAATGTGGTTGTTGATGATGATGCTGATGTTGTTATTGTGGTTGGATGTTTAGCGTGGATAAGAATGTAAGATGCAACAGAGTTCTTGCATAGCTTGTGTCCTTCAGTTTCCCTGTTTGGTACCGTTAAGAGGACTTCTAATTTCAAAATTAACCCCACACGTATCTTATAGTTGTAGTAGAAAAGTTTACTATGAACTATGGGTGTATCGATCCTCGAAAAATCCTTTTTCAGCCTGAATTGGCCAGTGTGATCAGCGTAAAACCAGAAAACAGCGGGCTTTGCTCTATTTGAACAGTGTCGTTTAGAGGCCATTGACGCATTTCTAGTGCAAGATTGTTTTTCTTCTAGGTATCTACTCCGGAGCATGGTCAAGGGGACGAAAGCATGGCTTGGGTGTTCGTATTTCGTTTAACAGTACCACATCTGACGAAGACCTGGGGCGGACATCACAAAATTCACCGAAAGAAAATAACTCTGGCAGAGCAAGCAACAACACAGGGGATGTATCTTTCAATGTAACGAATAGGTATAATCCTATAAATACAAGCGACTCTCCAGCGGCAAAGGAGCGAGCGAAAGTGAGAAGCAACATTAGTTTGAGGCGCTTGCGAAAACAGTCCACAGTGCTGGAGTCTACGTGCTCCTCGCCGGCAAACGTTAGCGAGGAAAGAGGCAAACGCTCATCAGCTCCAAGCAGCCTGTTCCGAAGAACGACATCCGTGGACGGAACTGATAATAACTGCCACGGCATGCGTGCAAGCGCTTATCGCTGTCAACAGGCTATTGCACGGAAACAAGCCATGTGCAAGTGGGACGACGCGATTGGAAAGAGTACGGAAGTATACGCCGGCGAATGGGTGAATGACAAACGAACCGGATGCGGTGTTCTTCAACGTTCTGACGGATATCAGTACATTGGGGAATGGTTGCACAATCAAAAACATGGGCTGGGAATGCTGCGGTATCCAAATGACAAACACGATATGGGCAAATTTGAATTCGACAATTTTGTCCATCGAGTTCCCCACCGGGTGAAAATGAACATTTTGCGACAGAGCAAACTACAAGACTTACTGAATCAAGCCATGCGGAAGGCACAGGAAGCTGCCAGCGCTGCCAAGGCCATTTCGCTTGAATACGCTCAAAAACAGTAAGCTCCGGACATTTTCACCTAACAGGGACACAGCAGTGTTATCATATTTTCAATTTTGTGCTGATATAGTCCATGTCATTACACGAATGAGATCCATAAATTACACGCAATAAACTTGGGCTGCCATGATCGCCTTAAAATGTTCCCAAAAATTCTGAGTAGGATGGTCACTTATGAAACTATGTACTTCTCTGTAGGTCAGGTTATCTGCTTATATATGAATGCATCTGGGTGACCACACATTACCGATGCTATTATCCGTTCGCAAAGTCCAGGCTTTCTGATGGTTAAACTTTTCGGTCGCAAACGAGGTGGGAGACAACAATAGGGTTGAGTTCTTTCTTACACACAAATACCACATGCTGTACAGCTCTCTGGGATATAACCTTTAGGTCAACCAATGTTCAATTCATCCGAGCCTCACGTAGGTGAAATGTTAAAGCGCATCTGTGTAGAGGCATTTACAGGTCAAAGCTGCAGTATTATGGGTTTTAGGCCCATTCACCTCTCACGGTTTGGATCACTAGTCCGCATCACAAGCCCTGAGCGTATGCGATCGCATCTGGTTGAAATGTAGCCGACACACTTGAATAAGGTGATACTTAGCACCCAGTGCTAATGGTGAAGGAATATCAGTCTTATCGGTTCATACATTATAAGGTGGTACATGCGACCAGCAAATTTGTAGGCAGGTAGTCGCACCTGCAATCAGTCATACGCACACATCTACAGAAAGTAGGACGCTTGTGTTTTCCCCTTGGTGTTTTCGAGCAATATGTGATCGCATCGGTCTTCGAAAAATTTGTGCCTTTGATCTGTTCTTCATCTGACAGCGGCCCGCAACAACATGCTATAGAAGACGATGAACCAGCGCAGCCGATAAGTAGCTTGTCACAAAGTTCAGCATATCTATTTCTACCGTCCAAAGAGTTTACACACAGAAGCTGTGGTATGTCAATGGACATTAGGCATCCAAAATAGTTGTTTTCTATGTCAGCGGAACTGGTCATTCCTACCTACAGCCCATATATTTTGTAATCAGCAATATTGTGGCTTCTTGTTGGCAGTGATAGCGCACACCCCAAGAACGGAAATATCAGTTCAGACAAAACCATGTCAACGGTTTTCGTTCTGATTCAGAGATACAGAGTTCACTGTGTGAGCAGCTTAATTCATTACTAAGATAAAAAGAATTTAGCATTTGACGGACGCCCTATTCCTTTTGCACAGAGCTGATCTGGCCCGACAGGCCGCGGAAGAGGCACAGAACACTACACTGGATGCTAAGAAGTTGTCGCAGAAAGCACGCGAACTCGTCAGCCAGATGGAGCCACTATTTTCCCAGCCAGGTGAGGTCCACTTGGGAAAACCCACTATCAAACTTGTTGAGCATCCTGTTCCCAACTGCACTGACAATGCCTTGAATTTTTCGATTATCTTTTTGTAGTGTAAGCAATTGCAATTTCACTATTTGTCTCGGCAAGACTGCTCTGCATCAATAGTAGAGTCACGAAAACTGTGATTCCTTTTAAATGTCTGATTCACCGTGAAAACAAACCCTGTAAAACCTACCTTGATGTAGAACAATTTAGTACTTGACGACTAGGAACGGTGACGTTCACTTACTAGCTGTTTCAGGCATTCAATGGGTCGGAAGAAGTCCCTATGTACACTGTCTTAAACAGCTGTGATTCTTGTCACCGGCTAGTGAAAATAACGAAATCATCAAAAGATGATGGAAGTGTCCCGTGATGGATTTGTTAAAAACACATTATAAAATTTATATTTCACTGCAAATCGCATGCGTTTTTTAAATTTTCATAACTAACCTCTTGCTTGGGTCGCTCCAGTGCTATATCCATCCTGAACCTACGCTTCTCTGTTGTTTTGGTTTTCTCCTCTATGGCTCCACCTGCAATGTTAAATAAATAAACAAAAACTAAATAACCGTTTTATTCCTTGACAGTGCGAGGCACAAACCAATTGATTGGTCATATCGACACGTACAACGTGATCACATAATATAGTTAATTTCAGGTGTCTTGTTCAATGGTTCACATATAGATTTTTTGAAGTGGTTAGCAGTTTGAAAATAGTAGAGAGATAAAGAAACTGGGAACGATAATAAATGTATATTTTACGGAGTTCAACTAATGTAATACGGTCATCCATGGAACTGTCTTCAGGGGACTTGCTTCCATGCAGGGTATTCCCACGATGGGTTTCACCCGCACTTCCATGCTCCATTTGGCTCTGTGCCGGTGTGGCAAAATAGTAAATAAGCCATCAGACTGGGTATCAAATGATTTTAAGCGCTGTTTTATGCATACATTTTGGGCGATAAAGCCTCAGCCCGTTCCGTCATGCGGATCAATCAAGTGTGGCACATTTTAAGCCAGCGAGTCAGTAGCAATATGATTTGCATGGGTATACTTTTTTATTTTGCTAACTATAATCCGGCACCACAAGAGATGAGTCCAGTCATGACCAACAATAAAACAGTAGAAGATAAAGCATGAGGTATTAAAAAACGTAATAATGAATACAAACGCTTGCCGATAGGCCAAACACAATTTGATGAAAAATCTTGGTGAGTGCAGACGATGGTACAGAGACATCAGCTGGAAAGGTGTAGTGCATCTACGAACCAGTGCGTCAAAGGAGAAAACAGAATTGTTTAGCCGGAGTGATAGGAGTAAGGTCCTTTATAAATACATACTCTATGTAGGTAACCTTAAAATATTGAAACGCATAGAGGATACGACGACTTTCATATGTATCCAGGACCTTTCTTATACAAATTATCTAGAGTCACCGTTTGGCTTAGTGTTGACCAGATATTTGAAACTGTCAAGTGAATATTAATCATGCGTGTGAGTTGCGAATAGGTAGTGCAGTTTCTAATACTCGATGGAACTTTGTTCCATATTAACGCATATTTTACGGAGAAACATTTTGAGGGGAGCATTGTGCGAGACTTTTGTATTTTCAATGTGCGCTCGCTGTTTCTTAGTTCACAGTGCCTACGAGTCTAAAACTCGAGTTGTGGCTGAACGGTGAACCTTAATCCGAATAGTAGGCGGTATAGAAGGCGCAGATTAAGTTTGAGTCTGCGTAGCCATAGCGGCTCCTGTTTTAGAGCCTCGCAACGCTCCCGGTATGTCATAGTATTAGGCATGTTCAAAAAGCTTTTTGTGAATGATCGTTGAATGTTTTCTGGTGTTATGATGTCCACTTTTCTCAGATTACTATGCACTATCGTAGAGTACTCAAGCTTCGGCCCAACACATATTTTAATGGTTAGAAGCCTGGAATCCCTCAAGATAAGAGTTCGACTTATGTAGGCGATCACCTTTCTGGCAGAAGCCTGCAAGAATATAACATGTTCTAAAAAATTAAATGAGGCAGAATATTTTAGACCAAGGTCTCGGACTACGCCACACACAGAAATAGGGGCATTGTTTAGTGTAAGGATGTTCAGAGATGTTCAGCCGTGGTACAATAGATTCCTGTTGTCAGTGGCAAAGTGCAACTTCCAGGAGTTACTCTAGTGCTCCAGTGCGGAGAGGCCAGACTGAATATAGGCTAAGTTAGGACTACATTGCCCAGGGGCGGAACAATACACAATTTTAACATCATCAGCCGAAAGGAATGGCTTCCCGTACGAGAATTTATCAAGGAAATCTTTGTAATAGACTAAGAATAAAGGCGAGCCTAGCACGCTACCTTGAAGCACTCCACTAGAGATTGTAGTGGCTTCAGGTGTACAGTTACTGCTTTTGACTACTTGCTTTCTACCCTCGGGGTAGAAAGACAACCAATCTAGAAGCGAATTTGTGACACCATAGGATATAAGTTTCCGCAGCAATAAATTGTGTGGGACGCGGTCAAAAGCCTTTTGGATGTCAAGAAATATTACGATAATGGCACTTCCGGCGTCTCTTGCTCTAGTCACGTAATCAAGGTAACAGATACCGCATGACCTACCTTTCAAAAAACCGTGCTGATTTTTACTGAGAAGGCTCATAGAACTCAAATATTCTATTATGCATTCTTTAACTAACCTCTCCATGATTCTGGAGATAATAGATATGTGGTGGATTGGACTGTAATTTTTCACATGTTGCATAGAGCCGCTGTTGTGTCGCGGTATTATAGTTGATTGTTTCCAGTGTATAGGATACTCCCCATTGAGCATTGAAAGTGTACATACATTAAGCATCAACAAGGGGATGTCCGGACCTCCGTGATTGACTATAATTGGCGGGATGTTGTCAGGGCCTGGTGAACATGATGGACGAACTAATCCTAGTTGGCGATATATGTCACTAAGTATAAATTCAACAGTTTGGTGTGTATTAAGGCCTCTGTGTATCAGCATGAGTTGAAGATCTTCTTTCCCATTAGTGTCATAAGTAGACATAAAGTAGTCATTGAAGATCAATATAAAAGATTGCGTGATCGGTAATGACAGTTCGATCGGAGTTTATAGTCGAGTTTATACAACTTGATTTTCTATTTTGCCTACAGTCCAAAAGTTTTGAGATGCAGCCTACCAGGTTGGCGCACCTCCTCTGGGTCTAGCCAGAGGAGGAGGTTCTCTAACACACTTATCTAAGCATCTCATTGTGACAGGCAGACACTTCTGGGGCTGATCTGGGATGGCTAAATAGCCGCGTTGTTCACCGGTGGTTGGCCAACAGCCCAACACCTCCAATCTCGTCTTATTTGCGGTGGCTAACCAGCTTATTAGGGTCTTCTGAGTATGAATCAACCATCAGGTTGCTTTGATCTGGAACATATACTGTTGGGCTGTCAGCTTCACTGGGCTTACCCGTAATCTGATCACTTTGTCACGTTAGCTTAAGGCCAGTGTGCTACTGTGCCTGACATCTCATCAGGCAGCGACCAGGGAATCTTCTCCAGCAGCAGCTGGAGGAGCACTGAGTGTATCCGTGGAGGATGGCTGACTGAACTGATATTCATTTATAGCTCTATGCGAGTGCAAGTACTTATTAGTTTGATGTACTCATGAGTAGGGGCTTTTTGAAGTAATTATGTGAGGTCCATCGTGAACCTCAAAATACGACTGTAGCCCTAATGTTTTTAGCAAGTTCCCCCGGCTTGTAACATGGTGTGTTGTCTTCCAACTATATTTTTCGTGTTTCCTGCTGCGATAACTTCCGCCCAAATTGTCTAGCATAAACATACTACTTATGGGAGAAATCATTCTGAAGTACTCGCTGTGGTTGGCTTGCGAAGCCTAACTGCAACGTGGACCACGATTCGCATTAACTTTCCGGTCTGTGTGATCGAATCGAACAAGGTTCATTTCATTGTGAGTCACGATCCGCATTGAGAGTGTATGTGGTAATTTATTCACACAATGAGTGCATCCATATGACCGTTCAAACCGCCATTGTCCGTTGTGAGAAGCATTGCCCACCGCAACGCGGTGACTAAGACCATGATGGTTTCGGCTAACATCCCAACGGTCGCAGGTTCGATGCCTTCTTACTCTATCTGGTCTGAGCAGATGAGTTCGAAGTAAGTCGGGTAGGCGGCATCCATATCCGAACAGACTACGTATTAGTCGCTCACTTCGGCGGAACATATATTAAAATTGGAACGGCACAGAGGCGATTGGCATGGCCCCCGCGCAAAGATGACTCGTAAAACCTTGAAACCTCCCTTCTTTATTTCACTCGCCTAAGGCAACGGATATTAGTCCTCAGGCTCGTTATGACCAAGACGTGGATTTTATGCAAAGCCTGATTGATAGGCTTCTCTGCTTGAATGAACAGGGGTTAAGTTGGAAGCAAATCTCCCTTCTTGGACAGAGAGAGAGGAAGGGAAGTCCCAGCCTTAGCAAGTCACGTTTGTTGATGAAGCCAGTCCGAGGCTGATACTATTCCGCCTGGGTAGGCTAAGAGGTCTGAGGATCCATATTCGTCCCTATTTGGGTCCGTCGGACAGAGAGAAACTGAAGTCCGCTATCGTGGAGTTGTGGCGGCGGACTGATAGTGGAGCAAATAATCTCCATATCGTAAAGTTTTGGGTAGTTCTCCGTGTCCGCCGATCCAGGATGGATAGGTAGTTGACGCTCGTCCGTCGGTTCCTAACGTGGCCTGCGCGTAGCCATCAAAAAGGTTTGTGGTTTAATGAACAAATGTGACGATGTATATTACTTTGTTGCCGCTGGTCGTCCGGAGGTACTAGTACTGGCCAAAACCTGGTCAACTCCTGTGGTCACTGCCTAGGAAGTCCAGATCAGTGGATACTCGTGCTTCTGGCGCCACAAACTGACAAAAGATCGAACGGGCGTGCTGTTATACATTCGGTCCACTCT